AGTTTAGTGAAATCGGTTCAGTTGTAGATATAGCTCCTATAAATATTTTCGTCCGATTTAAGGTAAATGGTACCCCAAAGTCCCTAAATATCTTTCGATATGCACGAAATTTGGCATAGCGCACGTATTTAAGTCTAGAATGCTGTGTGTCAAGTTTGGTGAAAATCGTTTCAGATACAGATATAGCTCCAATATATATTTTCGTCCGATTTAATAGACATGTGGTGAAGGGTATCATAGTCGGCTCAGTCCGACTTTACTACTTTCCTTACTGGTTAAATGTTGCCCCCTTTACTAGGAAGTTACCTGAAGAAGTATATGGATCATATAGATGCATGTTTAAAAAATTACTTCGATGGGCAATATTTCGACCAAATAGGAATCTGAAGATGTTGAAAATTGTATGATGTGGAAATATGAACCAAATTGGATAGGCAGGATAAGAAGCTAACAAGAAGTATTAGGAGGTAGGTGGGAAATACCTTCGATGGCTATAGAAATCGGACAGAAAACATATAGATAATGTTGCTGAAGATTAAAACTGGCTCCATGGTTGAAGAGAAGTTTACACATGGTGGAAAGTGAGCAACCACTAGCCTGTGCCGTCTGTAGGCCAGGATTGGGCAGCGACACAGGAGATGTTCAATTGTCTCCGTATACTCCTCGTCAGCACAGAGTCTGCAATAATCAGTAAGATCATGGTCCCATTTACTTGTTAAAGGCCCTGATATTGCAATGACCAGTAATGACTTCTGTCATTACTCTAATTTCATCTTTGCTCAGGTTCAACAGTGAGTTTGTTCTCTTAGTTGACAGAGCCGGACAGATAGATATTGGTCTAGGTTCGTTGTACCAGAGTTCATTTGCTCGTTCGTCAAAGAACGCCTCAAAGTTCCGAAAAATATTACAGATGAGTGGTTTGATTGAGTCAATGATTGCTAGATCTGTAGATTGAGGTCCTCGTCTAGCTAATTCGTCTGCCTTTTCATTACCCATGATGTCACGGTGTCCTGATACCCAACACAGCCGATAGCTTTTAGTTTTTTTCGAAAACTGTTTTACACTCGAAGACGATATCAGATTTGATATTACAGGATTAGATGGCTTTAGGATAGATCGTTGTGGATAGTTATATCCACATAGATCTATCCGGTTGAACGATCTCTGCCTCCAGAGTTTTTATCAATTCCGCTGCCTTCCATATAGCGAAGATTTCAGCTTGGAAAGCACTACAGTTGCTATCCAACTTGTAGGTAAGCACAAGGTTTAGCCTTTCACAGTAGACGCCAGCCACTGTACCTTCTTTCATATTGGATCCGTCTATATAAAAAGCCAGACCGTCCAGAGGACGGTTTCTACGGTTCCAGTCGTCTCTACTAGGGATAATGACATATACATCAAATCAAATCTCAGGTCGGGATATATATAGTCGATTAGTTTTTCACGTTGGTCCAATGTCATACCTAATTCGTTCAGAATACATCCATGCCCGTAGGTACAATTTCGCCATAGATTTTGTTCATGCTGCCTTAGGACACTACGCGCTGCCTGACACTTAATGCTGAGACCCAGAGGCCTTAAGTTCTGCATTGCGTTCAGAGCTGCTTGTAGGGTGCTCCTCGCGGCTCCAGTTATTTGAATCTTTGTACCTTGTCTAGTTTGCTGCATGTCGACTTGTAGCACAAGCATGGGATGGGTCGGTAAACTCGATGTCGCCTGCTACAAACCTCTACAGTAAAAGTTCGTTGGAAATTTTCTTTATACCCCAGAGATAGATCACATTAATACATGCCATAAACTTTTCATTTAATAAAAATATGATACCAAATTCCATAGTTTCCCATATCTCGTCCCAAGAATTAAATGAATATCGTGGTTGCCATTATAACCATCCTGATGTGTTATACTCCCATTACACTGTGCTACAAAATAACAAACATTTTTTTTCAGGGATTCTAATGTACCAATTCTGTTTAGTTGGAGTCCCTGGATCACGAAAATACCTTTGGTTTTTCTTGTCACTTCGAAAATTGATTTTATAACGGTAAATATAGAGAAAAACGTGGTTTCAGGGATTTTCGATTTGAAACTTGAATAACTTATTTACTTTATAACGGATTTATATTATTCTTTTTTTCTTTCGAAGAGTACAATTTTTCCTTTCAAACAAGATATATATTTGGTAAATCGGTTGAGGATTGGCTGAGTTACAGCGGTTGGAATGTGAAAAAATGCGCATAAAATGACAAAATTTATTTTTCTTCGGACTGTACGATGAAATTATGATATCAAGCCATATAAGTTTTATTATATTACGGGGAAGATAATTAAATTAGCTTTCAAAAATGATAAAAATCAAAAAAATCGGTTAAAAAATGGATGACTTATACACATTTTTGTATGCATAGAATCATATTCTCTAAAGGAAATATGGGTCTGTGTCGTTTCCTGTTACAAACCGTTATGTTTGTAACAGGCAAAAGGAAACGAGATAGACCCATAGTTCCTTTAGAGAATATGCATAGAATCAATACAAAAATGTGTATAAGTCATCCATTTTTTAACCGATTTTTTTGATTTTTATCATTTTCGAAAGCTAATTTAATTTTCTTCCCCGTAATATAATAAAACTTATATGGCTTGATATCATAATTTCATCGTACAGTCCGAAGAAAAATAAATTTTGTCATTTTATGCGCATTTTTTCACATTCCAACCGCTGTAACTCAGCCAATCCTCAACCGATTTACCAAATATATATCTTGTTTGAAAGGAAAAATTGTACTCTTCGAAAGAAAAAAAGAATAATATAAATCCGTTATAAAGTAAATAAGTTATTCAAGTTTCAAATGGAAAATCCATGAAACCACGTTTTTCTCTATATTTACCGTTATAAAATTAATTTTCGAAGTGACCCAGAAAAACCAAAGGCATTTTCGTGATCCAGGGACTACAACTAAACAGAATTGGTACATTAGAACCCCTGAAAAATTTTCGTGTCGCACAGTGTTATTATTCACAACATCGGCATTGGTCCACTTAACGATTCTAACCCTATCTTATCAAATTTAATTTAGCTAGCCGTTTTATTCTGGTGATTAACATACGCATTTTTATCTTCCTGTTACCTTACTAGCGAATTTGCTACGCTTCCGGGTAGTAGCACATACTTAGACCTATTCAAACAAAGACAATTTATTTAAAAAAAATCTCTCCAATTTGTTTCTATTCCTTCCAAGAAGCAGGCATAGATAATGACAAAGTATCGCATGATTTATTGGCCCATTAAGGGAAAGGTGTATAGCAATTTTCATTCATTGATTTCTGTTCATTATCCCATTTTCTACCTTTTTTTTAAAAATTGACAATAGCTTGTAAAAATAAATTAAAACAGTAATAAATGTGGTACACTCTCGGCAGCTGTACCAACAGCATTAATGCTTTAAAATCATAAGATTAAAAAGAAATCCCTTAAAGAAACGGCCTTTCTTTTTAAATGGATCGTGAGAAAAAACATTTGCCAAAAGATCAGCAACGAAACGTCCGTCTAACAATTGTTAATTAGGGGTAGTTTTTTGTGCATGCATATTTGAAGGGAAATTTATCGACAAAATGTCTTAAGGGTTTAAAGAATTATTCTTTTTTATTATTTTATGTATGCATTACTTTTACATATAAGAGATTTTATGCGATGGGTTTAATCGTCAATGTTCGTGGCATTACAGGGTTCCCAATTATTAGAAAAATAAAGACGACATATAATAACCGAGAAGATGATTTATCCATATCAAAATGTCCAGGTTGTAATAGTTTTAAAAGTCAAAAGTCAATTCTTCATAAAACTATGAACTAGAAACACAATCCAGTACAAAAATTCATGGGTCTTAACAAATTTTTCAAAATAAAAAAACACATCCAGTTTTAAAAAATCTTAAAAAAATCCGGTCTTAAAATAATAAATATATTTTCTGAACAAATCCAGTTTTAAACCAGTAAGGAAAGTAGCATAGCATATGCCTTTCTAGAATCTCTGCTAAATTTCATTTCCTTTGAGCAATCTATGAAAATCGATTTAGAACAAACTTGATACACGCTATTCGGTTGGCTACACTCTTCAAAATTTAATCTCAATTTGATCTCGTTTGAAATATATATGAAAGCTGTGTCTGCATCTGCAGAATTTTCAACAAAACGCAATAACGTCATTCTAGTTTCGATACATTGTGCAAAAGTTCGTGTCACTCGGTGCACCAAGTTCGTGGGAGCTATATCATTCTAGACTTAATTCAGTACGAAATGCCAAATTTCGTGCAAATCGAAAGATATATAGGAAATTTGAAACACCATTTACATTAAGGGAACGCTTAAGAGCCCCAAAATACCTAAAATTGGGGGTGCCTTTATATGGGGCGTACCCGAAAAAATGGACCTATATTTATAATTTTTAGTGAAGAAATTTGGTACCCAAAAAGAACCCATTGTACCAATTTTCAGCGAATTTGGTTTAAAAACGCGCTTGCAGACAATACCACCAAGAGAGTGTTAGTCTCTCCCCCCAAAATTATCTTTATAAAAATTAAATTATAACTATTCAAAGGTCGACATTTTTCTTTGTCCCCATTCTAAGCCGTATTTAATTATTTTTTTTTTTGTTCTTAAGTCAATGATTTGTTTATCTCCATTCTCATTCACATTTAATAAAAAGAGTAAGCAACAACAATTTCCAATATGTGTTATCAATTTTGAAATAAATTTTGAAATATTCTCTGTGCCAAGCTAAGGTCATCTAATATTAATTCTGAGAATCCTCTTACTCCGCCCCCTGTATTAAAGAACTACTTTGTATTTCATCGGAGAACTAATCACAAAGACTAAAGCCGAGAGAAAATGAGAACGCACCACACATAAAAAAATGAGAATCAATTCTCAGCTCTTATCAGCTAATACTCCTCGTCCGGCTCAATATTACAATTTAAGACCAACATAGATTGACAATAAAAAATTCATGTTTATTAAATATTCTATTTCAGAAGCATGAAGTGGTCTCTGCTCTTATTATTGGGCTTGGTGGCCTGCCTTGGCCATGTCCGTGCCGAAGTTGAAGAGTTGGATACGGAGGATTTATTAGAGGAATTGCTCAATTTGGAATTGGACGAAAGTGAAGAGGAATTATTGAGGCAATTGGAAGAGAAGAATTTGGTGAGTTGTGCAATTTAAAAAAAAATGAAACAGTTAATTAATTTTTCCAAAAAATCTTTTTCTCTATCTTCCCCACAGAACAAAGATGTTGAACGTGAAAATGAAATTGCTTCCAAATTGGCAGCTGATACCAACAACATTTTGAATCCTGTCATTGAAAGTATGTATTATTAAAAAAACTATTTGTCTTAATCTGAATTTATTTAACAATCCGATAATTTGTTTGCAGTCGATCCCTGTGAAAAAATGCACTGTGGTGCTGGTCGTGTTTGCCATTTGGAGGGTGTTACAGCCAAGTGTATCTGCATCCCCGAATGCCCTGAAGAAATTGATGCTCGCCGTCGCGTCTGCACCAACAAAAACGAAACCTGGCCCTCGGATTGCTCCGTCTATCAGCAACGTTGTTTGTGTGACACCAAAGATCCCGGCTGTTTGAATCCCGAAAATACTCACTTGCACATTGACTACTACGGCGAATGCCACGAATTGAAAGAATGTACCGAAGAAGAAATGAAAGATTTCCCCAGGCGTGTACGTGATTGGCTGTTCAACGTTATGCGTGATTTGGCCGAACGTGATGAACTTACCGAACATTATATGCAAATGGAATTGGAAGCTGAAACGAATATGACTCGCCGTTGGGCCAATGCTGCCGTATGGAAATGGTGCGATTTGGATGGTGACACTGATCGTTCAGTATCCCGTCATGAACTTTTCCCCATTCGTGCTCCACTCATGAGTTTGGAACACTGCATTGCCCCCTTCTTGGAGTCGTGTGATCCCAACAAAGATCATCGTATCACCTTGGTGGAATGGGGAGCATGTCTTGGCTTGGATCCCGTAAGTTTATCAATGTGAAATGAATTATTTTCGATTTTTTGTATAATCAACACATTTTTTTGGTTTTTGTTTCATCCTCTCTCTCTCTCTTCATCCATGAATTTTCTTATCACAGTCTGACCTCAATGAACGTTGTGATGATATTCAAAAAACTGTGCCTCATTTATTGGGTTAAGTGTTGTGGCATCAGGCGGCGACAACGGAAGTTGTACAATCACAACAACAATTACTACTGATACTTCGTTGGACCAGTGTATTCTAAAAAAATTAAAAAACAACTAATCGATGAGATTTGTGAACATACACACATATCTGTATACAAAAACAGTGTTCAATGCCAAATATTTTGTAATACTTATTTCAAATAAAATATAATTATCTGTAGATTTTTTTTGTATAACTAATATATTTAAATTTGTTTTTTTTTAATCACAATTTTTAAATTAATTATAATTTTTATAATTATATATTTTTTTTAATATTAATCGAGCTCATGATTTGGGGCGGAAAATTCTCTATGGGAAGATGTATTTATGGTAAATATTTTAGACGAATCTGACACTTCTTTGAAATCTATACTTTATACGAAATTAATTTGTGTTCATAGATGTATGAAGAAGATTCGGGTAAAAGTGAAAAAGAACGATGAAGGCATGCGAAATAAATAAATATCGATTTCTCACTTATTTAAAATTTTTGTAGAATATTTCTAGGTCAAAAATTTTCGTCTTGTGGTATTTAGTTTGCGGTTCAAGAAAAGGAACCAAAATACGTACAAGGACTCGGATTAGAAGGAGAATATTTTTTACAAAAATATCCGTCATTTGATTCGGCTGAAGACATGTCATCTAAAAAATAACCTGCAATAGCAGCAAACATATATTGAAACCAGTAAGGAAAGTAGTAAAGTCGGACAGGGTCGAATATATGATACCCTTCACCACTTTTTTGAAGGATCGCGAAAAAGGAAATTGGAATTCATTTGGTCAGATATAGAGTTGCTTCCTACAATGGGACAAAATTATGTAAATCAATTTAAAGCAAATACGAAATATATATATATAAATCCGACGAAACTATACTATACTAAACTATACTATACTCTAAAACTGAACCGATTTTCAGGAAACCTAACACACATTAATTCCCAGTTTATTATTTCACTATATACTTGTGTGCCTTTTTATTTAATTTCGATATTTTATTTCCCCACATTCTTAAAGTGGTCTATTATTTTATGATATGCTCCTCCTCCTTTATTTTGCCCTTCAAATCATGCACATGAAAGAAAAAATAATAGCGAAAAATTTCGCACAAAATGTCATCACCTTCTCCCACTACTTGTAATCCAGAATAACTAATTTTTCACCAAAGCAAAAGATCCTGTTGAAAAACATGTAAATTTGAATTTACTATTCAAAAATATGTCGACCAGTGCATTTACTTTGTTTCAATTATTTTGAATTTATCTAAATATTTTTGATTCATCACATGTGCTTTGAGGTTTAGTTTTTCTGTATTACAATATTGAGCTGATTGTAATTATATTTTTCATTCGTTTTTCAAATCATTGAAGTGACAAGTTCAAGAAATAAAAAACAAGATATTCCATTTCAATTTTGTGTGTTTTTTTTATTTGTCTAATTGTTCCAGAAGTTTAACTGAATTATAATATAAAATCTAATAGGTTATGGGCCCAGATAACGCCCTATAAATAAAATTGTGAATATGGACAAGATGAAAAGAAACATAGATCCGTTTAACGGTGCAAAATATTCAATTTGGAAATTCCGTGTTAGATCAATTCTTGCCGAAAATGATGTGCTTAAAGTTATTGATGAAGAAGTGCCAACGGAAATTTCTGAAAATTGGATAAAAAGCGAAAGGAATGCCAAGGGTATTATAATCGAGTATCTGAGCGATTCGTTCTTAGGATTTGCAAATAATGACTGCAGTGCCAAACAAATTTTCGCAAATTTGGATGCCATTTATGAAAGAAAGAGCATTGCATCACAACTGGCCTTAAGAAAGAGGTTGCTATCATTAAAATTGGAAGGAGAAACATCATTATTAAATCATTTTCATGTGTATGACGATTTAATATCTGAGTTGGTAGCGGCTGGAGCAAATATCGGAGAAATGGATAAAGTCTCACATTTATTGCTGACACTCCCAACATCTTATGATGGTGTAATTACGGCAATCGAAACACTATCTGAAGACAATTTGACGTTGGCATTTGTGAAGACACGTTTACTTGATCATGAAATTAAAATCAAGAATGACGGAAAAGACACCAGTATGAAAGTACTACAAGCAATAAAATACCGTCGGCGCCCATTCAATAAACCAATATCACATGACTTCAAGCATAAAAAAAGGTTGAAGACCACGAAACATTTTGACCCGTCCATAAAGTGTCATTATTGTCATAAAAATGGCCATGTGAAGAAGAATTGTTTCCTGTTCATGAAAACATTGGATACGAAAAACCATGGAGATGTAAAAACAGTTCATGCAGCAGTTCAATCCGAGAAAGGATTTGCTTTCATGATTTGTCGGGAAGCTTATGTAAGCAGAGAAGATGGAATTTCTTTTTTGTTAGACTCTGGAGCTTCGGATCACATTATTAATGATGAAAACTTATTTTTTGATTACGTCAACCTTGAATCGCCAATTAAAATAGCAGTTGCAAAATGTGGTGAATATATTCATGCTACAAAACAAGGAAAAGTTAAACTATGGAGTAGAAACCAATACCAGATTACACTTGAGAATGTTTTGTTTTGTCAAGAAGTTCCACAGAATTTGCTCTCAATAAGAAAGATGCAAGATGCTGGATTGTCTATTGAGTTTAACTCCGAAGGTGTCATTGTACGAAACAAAAGCCATGTAATCATTCAAGGTAAATGTAAAAATAATGTTCCGATAATTTGTTTTAAATCATATAAAAGCTTGTATGCAGCAAGTGCTGCGAAATGCAATAGTTATCAATTGTGGCATGAGAGATTAGGACACATTAGTAAGAGTAAATTTATGGAGATAAAGAGTAAGGAAATGTTTTGTGATAGTCAACTTCTAGACAATGTGCGTCCCAATGAAGAGTTATGCGAAGCTTGCATAAATGGAAAACAATCCCGATTAAGTTTTGGTAAATTTAAAGACAAGGGACACATAAGGAGGCCATTGTTTGTAATACATTCCGATGTCTGTGGACCGATAACTCCGCCCACAATTGATGAGAAAAATTATTACGTGATCTTTGTCGATGAATTCACTCACTACTGTGTGACCTACTTAATTACCTTTAAATCAGAAGTTTTTTCTGTATTTAAGGATTTTGTTGCTAAAAGTGAGGCTCTATTTAACTTGAAAGTTGTTAACTTGTATATTGACAATGGACGGGAGTATTTATCAAATGAAATGAGGGATTACTGTATAAATAAAGGCATAAGTTATCACTTGACTGTGCCATATACCCCACAATTGAATGGCGTTTCTGAACGAATGATAAGAACTATAACAGAGAAAGCGCGTGCCATGATAAGTGGAGCAAAATTAGACAAAACTTTTTGGGGTGAAGCTGTTCTAACAGCAACATATTTAATAAATAGAAGTCCTAGTAAGGCGTTAAAAGATAATTTGAAAACCCCGTTTGAGATGTGGCATGGGAAAAAGCCTATTTTAAAGTTTTTGAGAGTTTTTGGGTCCACGGTATATGTACATGATAAATTGAGAAAAAGAAAATTCGATGAGAAATCATGGAAGGCTGTACTTGTTGGATATGAGTCGAATGGCTATAAACTGTGGGATGTGGACAATGGACGTTTTGTTATGGCTCGTGATGTAATTGTTGATGAGAGAAATATGCAGTATTCTAGAGATCTAAAAGACACAGACCGTAGTAAACCTGATAATGTTAACGAATTCCGGAAAGAGAGTACGGAAAATGTAATCCTGAATGACAGTAAGGATTATTTAATGAAGGAACCATTGTACTCGAGTGATGTAAGAAATTTCCGGAAAGAGAGTACGGAAACTGTTATTCCGAATGAAAGTAGGAAAATGTTAAATAACGAATCACTTCATTCTAGTGCTGTAAAAATTTTCCAGAATGAGAGCACGGAAAAAAATGTCCCGAATGAAAGTAGGGAGAGTCATTATCAAGAGCATGCATTGCCAGTAAAATGTAGAAATGTTGAGCAAAGTAAAAGTCAATTGCAGAATGACAAATTTATTCAAAATGAAGGTAATTTGATAAGGAAGAGTGATCGCTTAAAAGCTAAGCCACATGTATCATACAATGAGAATGAAACGTATTTAGATAATTGTATTATGATTGCAAACGCATTTGTTGATAATGTACCGAACTCATTTGAAGAACTTCTATATAGGGATGACAGCACATATTGGAAAAAAGCTATTGAGGAGGAACTTGATTCTCATTTTTCAAATGAAACCTGGTCAATTGTGCCAAAGCCAGAAGACAGAAATATTATAGACTGTAAGTGGGTTTTTAGTTTGAAACATGATGAGTTCGGTAATCCGGTAAGATATAAAGCTAGACTTGTAGCAAGGGGATTTACACAAGAATATTTGATTGATTACAATGAGACATTTGCACCAGTGGCCAGAGTCTCTAGCTTTCGGATTTTAATATCTATTTCAAATCAGTTTGGTTTATTGGTACATCATATGGATGTAAAAACAGCTTTTTTGAATGGGGTGCTAAAAGAGGAAATATATATGAGAATTCCCCAGGGTTTGACATGTGAAGATGGTAAAGTTTGCAAGTTGAACAAGGCAATTTATGGTCTCAAGCAAGCCGCAAGATGTTGGTTTGAAGTTTTTGAGGAGGCCCTGAAGGACATGGGATTTGTTAGCTCACCTGTTGACCGTTGTATTTATTTAATTGATAAGGGTGATGTACTGAAAAATTTGTATGTATTGCTTTATGTTGATGACCTAGTAATAGCTTGTTCAAATAATAAAACTATTGATAATTTCAAAGAGTACTTGAAGAGCAGATTTAAAATGACGGACCTTTTTGATATTAAGTTTTTTATAGGAATGAGAGTTGAAAGACATAATGATACAATTACTCTAAGCCAATCTGCTTACATTGAGAAAGTACTTAGAAAATTCGAAATGAATGACTGTAAGCCAATTGGGAATCCACTTCCAACAAACGTTGATTATACTGCACTGAATTCAGATGAAAATTATAACGCCCCGTGTCGTAATTTAATTGGATGTTTAATGTACATAATGCTTTGTACACGACCTGATCTAAGCACATCGATAATACAGATCTAAGCACATCGATAGATACAGTAGTAAAAGTAATAAAAAATTGTGGCAATGCCTGAAGAGGGTTCTTCGATATTTAAAAGGCACTATTGATTTGAAATTAGTTTATACAAAACAATCTTGTAGAGAAGCTATATTTTCGGGGTATGCTGATGCTGATTGGGGAGGAAGCAAAGATGATAGAAAGAGTACTACTGGTTTTCTGTTTATGATGTTTGAATCAAATATAGTTTGCTGGAATACAAGAAAACAAAACTCTGTTGCAGCATCCTCTACAGAAGCTGAATATATGGCATTATTTGAGGCTGTAAGAGAAGCGTTGTGGCTAAAGTCATTGTTAACAAGTTTAGGTTTTGTATTCGAAAATCCAATCTTAATTTATGAGGACAATCAGAGCTGCATAAGTATTGCAAATAATCCCTCATGTCACAAGAGATCTAAGCACATTGACATCAAGTATCATTTTTCAAGAGAGCAAGTGGAAAATAATCTGATTAAAATTGAATATATTCCCACAGGCAAGCAACTGGCTGATTTGTTGACCAAACCCTTGTCAACTCCACGATTCATGGAACTAAGAACACAAGTTGGATTAAAGAATTTAGAACACTAAATATAAGTTTTTTTTTGGTCTGATTAGGTTTTTCTGGGTTTTCCCTAGTCCTTGCAACAAATGTTGGACCATAAATATTTTTACCCAGATATAACAACTTGTCACTTTTTTTATTAAATACTATTTAAAGGATCGACATATTTTTGAGGCGGCGTGTTGAAAAACATGTAAATTTGAATTTACTATTCAAAAATATGTCGACCAGTGCATTTACTTTGTTTCAATTATTTTGAATTTATCTAAATATTTTTGATTCATCACATGTGCTTTGAGGTTTAGTTTTTCTGTATTACAATATTGAGCTGATTGTAATTATATTTTTCATTCGTTTTTCAAATCATTGAAGTGACAAGTTCAAGAAATAAAAAACAAGATATTCCATTTCAATTTTGTGTGTTTTTTTTATTTGTCTAATTGTTCCAGAAGTTTAACTGAATTATAATATAAAATCTAATAGATCCGCTTTCCCATTCAAATAATGAGAAAGTGAAAATGTGAAGAAATTCGCTGCGAATTCTGGTTCAGAATAACATTAAAGGGAAGAGCGAAATAATTTACGGTGAATTGATGTCCAGCATAAGGCTGTATATATGTATTTCCGCACCAAGAAATCTACACCCCATAGGCCATTGACTATTTCAGTCAAAATCGCTTAAAATTACGATGATGAGATCGACGAAATTGGTGGCTGGCTATAAGCGATATAAATTAAAGCGATTGTGGATAACATGTGTTTAACCGATATGTAGTTATAAACCATATTGACTGTATATACAATTCTACCCACCCAAATCATCTAAATATTCACCCCTATTCCGTATGTCGTCGTCGACACAAAACGACGTCGAAGAGTGTCGTCTTTTGCAAATTGGTATTCCCTATGTCGTTGTCGACATTTATCGATAACTATTGAAACATTTTTGGTATTCTGTAACAATGTGTGACGACGACGATGTCGAAGATTTCTTCGTCATAATTTTTGTTGACGACTGAAGTGTTTGAACAATTTTTTTTAAGAAATTAAAAAAAACATGACCGGACAAGAACAGGATACATCATTATTTATTAAAGAATATTTTTCAAGGGCCAACTGAGGCGTGGATTTATTAAAGAATATTTTTCAAGGGCCAACTGAGGCGTGGATTTATTAAAGAATATTTTTCAAGGGCCAACTGAGGCGTGGATTTATTAAAGAATATTTTTCAAGGGCCAACTGAGGCGTGGATTTATTAAAGAATATTTTTCAAGGGCCAACTGAGGCGTGGATTTATTAAAGAATATTTTTCAAGGGCCAACTGAGGCGTGGATTTATTAAAGAATATTTTTCAAGGGCCAACTGAGGCGTGGATTTATTAAAGAATATTTTTCAAGGGCCAACTGAGGCGTGGATTTATTAAAGAATATTTTTCAAGGGCCAACTGAGGCGTGGATTTATTAATCTATTCAATACGTAATGCAAAATAAAGTGTAAATAAAGAAAAATATATGGGATCTATATATAAATCTGAATTGATTTTGACCAATGTCAACAAGAATCGTCAATGCGCCAAATAAAATGTCATCCCAATTAGATGCAATTTTCCAAATTTCATCCCGTTCGGATCATAATGGTGGCATGTAACTTGTTTTAAATAATACATGGATGGAGGGACATGCATAAATCGACTGAAAAATAATTCTATGCACATATATATACTAAAATGTAACTATGGGTCTATCTCGTTTCATTTTGGTCGTTGCAAACACATTTACCAAGACATAATGCTGTGGCACAGGGCATTATGTCTTGGTAGGTGAAGGATACAAACACATTTTTGCCCAAAAATATGCAACAAAATAAACAGCTGACCACATTTTTAGAGATGTGTTTTTTGTTTTTATTGATATTATCGATAAATAGTCGACATCGTCGCATGAGTGTTACAGAATACAAAATCAGTGTCGAAGTGATGTCGATGCGAAGTGATGTCGAAAGAGAAACGTCGTCGACAACGATGACGACATACGGAATAGGGGTGATTATTTTTCATTTTCTTATTTTTTTATATAATATTCGCACAGCCAAAAGATAGAGAAACCAATTCAATTTTTTAACAGAAATAAAACAATTCATTTTAAGGTTTTTATCTAAAGGTAGTCAATTTTGTAATTTTTATTTGTTTTTATGATTATTTGTAAATCTTCTTTGTTTTTTAAATTTAATTATTTAAACAATTTGTTTTCCTTCCTTTTTTGTTTTTGCAATTTTACTTATTACTTGTAACGTAAAAACAGTTTTGTTTCATTTAAATATTTTGTTTATATAATTAAATCAAGAAGAACGAACTTCATAAGTTTGCCGAAAAAAAAGTTAAGAAGAAAAAAAGAAAACAAATGGAAACAGAATCATTTTGTTTTGTGGTTTGGTAATAATAAGAATCGAAAGGGGCAGCTATTTTTTCAAAAAATCATGGCAGATTTAAAGCATACTTGTGTTTTATATAAACCAAATATAATATATTGAAATTACAAAAGCTTATTGTATGTTATATTGTTTGTGTGGTGTTCTTTTAATATAATGAAAAAAAGGAGAATTTATAAAATTTATTATTTTACGTTTTTTTGTAAGGTTTATATTATTTTTATCATTATATAATTATTAGCAATAGAAATAAAAATTAAAAAAATATATGTAAATGAAAAATTAAAATATTAATACCCTTGCGATAAAATAACGGTATTTTTTCTTTGCGGCTCTTGTACGTTGTCTTCTTTTTTGCCAATCAGAGATTTGTGAATGTGTGGTATGACACCACCACCGGCAATGGTTGCTTTGATAAGACTGTCCAATTCTTCATCACCACGAATGGCTAATTGCAAATGACGGGGAGTGATACGTTTGACTTTTAAATCTTTTGATGCATTACCGGCCAATTCCAAAACCTGAAAAAAAAATAGTAGAAAAGATTAGTAAAAAATTTGTATAAACATAGAAATTTAAAAGGTTTCGCGATATTTTGTAAGCTGCCATTTATGAAGTTTTCTTCTTTGACAAATTCACTTTTAAAAATGGGAAAACGTTTAGAGGTCGTGAAACCGCATAAAACCCGCAAAACAGAATGTGATGAAAAAATTAAGTTTTTGGGACAAGTAATCGATGGGAAAAATAAAGAACTAGGAATATTGCTGATATATCCCAAAGTTTTTATGAATTTATGAATTTTTATGCCATTTCTCGTCTGTTTTGGTAATTTGACACTTTCTACGAACACCATTACAATATATTTTGGATCAAGACTTGGGTCTTCTGACTCATTCAGTCAGTAACTTAGTCAACAAACAAAATTTGTCATCGGGAGTTTGGAAAACCCGATTGTTAAGGTTAAGAAGTCTCTCCATCTTAAAGGCCTGATTTGTTTATGGTCCGGTGGATGGATCCAACCTTATCGAAAATGAGATTGGACCAAAAGTTACAATTATTGGAGAAGATTTTCGATTTTTATGTTCGAAATTGGATGGAAGTCAACTTTTCGGCGCAACTTATCGGAAATTTTACCGAATCGTATTATCTCTGAAAACGCTCGCCCTGATATAGTGATTTAACACCTTATAAAATCTTTTCTTTGACCTATGTAAGGTCTATACCGCCTTCGGGGAGCAAAGCTGAATGCGTCCACAGGTTGCGGATAGTGGGAAGCCCAATACTATTCATTGGGTAGCTGTGAATAACAAATAAACAGTCGCGGACAATTAGCAGGCTCAGGGAGAGAGTCTCAGAGGAAATGACCGAGTGCCTATGATCCCTAAGCTGACGAGGCGAAAATGGCGCCCCAAAATAACCATCTCAAAGTTTTGGGTCACTATCTCTCAAAGTGTCATGCGACCTCGTGCCCATTAGCGTTCTAAGGTTTGCAGTCAGGGTCCCGACTATTAGAATGGAGCCTTGTTAATACCTGGGCCTCTCAACAAATTTATTCAAGCTTAGCTGCCAAGTCCTTGCCATGGTAAGAGACTATGCCATGGTTGATCTCAATCCCTCACCAACAGCACATTCTATGTAGCCGAATTTAAACTACGAATTGCAACTACAGTGATTAGCACTACGGTGACAAACACGGTTGCGATCCTGAAGTCTCCTCCGAAGCAAGGTGCGTTCTCCCAGTTGATGACTAAGGATGTAAACCCTGGCGAGGTTAAGGATCCGCACTCAATCTCCATGGCCTGTTGTGATGTGGCAAGATTACTCAGGCAGTTGGCTGTTGAAGCGGATACTGATGAGACTCCCGTCCTTAAGATGGATGAATCACCAGTACCAGTAACTGCTAGACAAAGACAGAAGGTAGGCGACTGTCGAATCTCCAATTCATTCGAAAGTTCACAAGGAACTACCTCAATAGCGTTTTAGAGACTTCTTAATTAATCACCATTGGAGGAAAAAGACTGGGATGTTGAATGGTATCAGGAATAACTAATGAGAATCAGAACGAGATTCTTGGCAGCATCGACTAGTGCTAAGAAAGGCAAGATCGCGTAGATGGTTTAGAAGAGCCAAGTACATAGGTTATTAGTCGACCGTTGGGATTTGATTTTCAAGAAAACAAAAGCACCAACATCTAGGTTAATGCGAATTATAATACTGCGATTATCTATATAATCAAATTCTAATATAAACACAAAAAAAAACTATTTTTTTATTATTATTGAGTAAAAATATTTTGAAAATCCTCGAACATTCAAATTCCCCTAAATATCATACGCAATAAAGTTGGCAACTCTATGCTCGTATAAAAAAGTACGCACACACAAAAAATTTATACAAAAATGGCGGGCAAATGACGCCACAAAACATAACGAACGAAAGAACAAAACAAGGGACCACCATCTGTCAGTTAAGCAGGCAGCAGTCAGGCCAAACCCCGACACAAAACATAAGAAAACATAAAACAGCAGTGTACAGCATATATACATATACACAACTACAAAAACAACAAAAATAGTCATTACAAAACACACTCTTCTTCGTCGTCGTCGTCAATGTGATAATTATGTTGCTGTGTTGCGCCCCTCAACGGATTGTTGTGTCAAAAGGAGGAAAAGAGAAAAAAGATAGGAAACGACGTACACACAACAACTAAATCATTTGGCGCGTAAAGGCATCATACACAATATACAACAACAGCAGCGGCCAAAAGAAAAACTAGGAAAACTGTATTTGATTCTAAGCAGTCGCCAGCCAAAGAGCATAGCATTTTTCCATGTTGTGTTTCACATGAAGTGGCTTACAACAAGGAGGGCTGTACTAATGTTTGATTCTATTTCTTTGTGTTCAACTACTTACTTCTGCTGTTAAATATTCCAGAATGGCAGCAGAATAAACAGCGGCGGTGGCACCTACGCGTCCATGCGATGTTGTACGACTCTTCAGATGACGATGGATACGACCAACAGGGAACTAAAAAGAAAAAAACATTATTTTAATATTCAAAACTATTTTAAAATTTCAAAATAAAAAAATGCAGGAAAACTTATCAAAACATTTAACCAAACCCCCATACACACACGCACACTGGCACAAAGTAAAATGGCGGGAAAATGTTTTTGATTTGTTTGCCTCGCATTTTGTTATTACAACGCGCGCGACTTTTCTTCTTACCTGTAAACCAGCGCGGGCCGAACGTGAAACAGCTTTGGCTTTTGCTTTTCCTGAATCTTTACCAGCTTTACCTCCAGCCTTTAAACAATAACAAACAAAATTATTATTAATACGACAATAAACACATCACATTTTCAAATTTTGAAAGGAAAACAACGTAGCAGGCAAACGCAGAAAATACCAAATACAAATCATTGTATTTATAGTCAAACGACGAACACTTCTACAAAAAAAAGTGAGGTTAAAAACGAATAACATTCGGCATTTGTCACAAATTTCATCATTTAAGGTATACAAAACATTATTTTTGGCATGTTTTGCAGCAATAATTGCTATATTTTGTTTCGTTTTCGTAAAAATCACTTCATTCCGATCCATACTTCCACGCACGCACGCTCTCAAAACTCCCATCATCAACCAACCACCACAATTTTTTTAGTCCACCTTCAACACAAGCACAATTGTCCGTCCATTGACACACCGTGATATCTTCTATTTGTCTTCGATGCACGTATGTATTCTTTGCGTTTTGATGCTACGTTGTTTTTTTACGTTTTGTAGATTAGGAAATTACCATTTTTGATATTTGCTTTTTTGTTTATTTATATAGACTTAAACTGGAATGAATATATGTAGATATTTCTTCTATTTTTTCACAAGTCTTGCGAGTTATTTTCTTTTAGGGCACAAAACCTCCGAACGACACGAATTTCTTTTTACGAATGAGATGAGACGCTATTAGGAATTACTAAATCGACTTTTGACTAATCGATTAATCGACATAGATGGGTATACTGATTATCGAACATGTCAACTGAATATAAGATTTGTCAAATAAAAGAATTAAAACATGCATTTTAAATGAAAATAAACATATTTATGATTTGTTGTATTAATATATTGTATGCGAACATTTACACTGGGCATTTTTATTAATGGAAATTGTCATTTATTTGTCATATATACAAAGGGAATGATGACTTAAGCGGTGTACACACTAGCACTTTTGAGTGACAGCTTTTTTTATCGATTACTGACTGTCCAACAACCATGAATATTTTTGTTAATGTCAAACATTAGAGGCCACACTATCAAAC